ATGAGTGCTACGTAGAAAGATATATACATGAGTGCAGGTGGTGATCGGTGCCAAACATGAAATGATGCAGTGACACAGCGTAGGGTCATGTGTTAGTGGCGGGGACAGTCATGTGGTTATTGTTCATGTGTCCAACAGCAGAGGGGAAGAAACTGTTCTTATGGCGAGATGTTGCTAATTGGACAATTTCTAGATGGTGTTGCGTGGTGGATCTGTATCTGATGCCACTGAGGTCACAATTCATCACTTTTGACAAGATCTCCAACACCCCTGGGTGAAATGCAGCTCCAAACCATGACGGAGCCTCCACTGTGTTTTACAAATAACTGTAGACACTCACTGTCGTGCCTCTCTCCTGACGACCTTCCTGCATATTGATGAGAATCTGAACCAAAAATGTCATATTTGAATTCATCACTCCATCAGATCTGCTGCCACTGATTTTCAGTCCAGTTCTTGTGTAATTTGGCATGCTTCAGCCTTTTCTCCCTGCTTCCCTTCCTTAAGAACAGCTTCTTGACAGCCACCCTTCCACTGAGACCATTTCTGGTGAGGCTTCAGTGAACACTAAATGGATCACCTGGGCCAGATCCATCTCTCGGGTCCAGTATCAGGTCTTTGTGGATTTTTCTTCATATGTCTTGAGGACATTACTTTCAGATACCGTCTATCTGTTGTATCTGTGCGTCGCTGTTACGCAAAGAAATGAAACGACAGCGCACTCCTGTGGTCACGTGTCAAACTGCAGCTCGCCGACTTTGACCCGGAAGCTCTTTTCACTGACCCGTGTGTTTTTCCTGCCTCACACGTGGGGTTTTCAGCACTGAGCAACATGGCAGCGTGCAGTGTAGAGGAGTTGTTGGCTAAAGCTGAGGCGCAAGAGGCGGAAACGCTGAAAAGCATATCAGTCCAGAAAGAGCTGGACTTGGAGTTTGACATCGGGAACCTGCTGGCGTGTGACAAAAACCGCATCGAGCCTCGCGACCTCCGGGAGAAGAGCAAAGAGGACTTTCTGCGCGCTCTCGCTCGCGACAACACGCAGCTTCTCGTCAACGAAATATGGAAACAGCCCACGGAGAGGGTCGAGGAGGCGATAGTGGCCAAACTGCCGGAGCCGTCGACCCGGCTGCCCAGAGAGAAGCTACCACCGAAACCCAGACCTCCAACAAAATGGGAGCAGTTCGCCAAGCTGAAAGGCATAAAGAAGAAGAAGAAGACCAACCTGGTGTGGGATGAAACCGCAAAGGAGTGGAAGAGGCGCTGGGGCTACAAGAGGGCCGGCGATGACACCAAAGAGTGGCTGATCGAGGTGCCCGAGAGCGCAGACCCGAATGAGGACCAGTTCGCCAAACGCGTCAAAGCCAAGAAGGAGAGGGTGGCCAAAAACGAGCTCAACAGGCTGAAAAACATCGCCAGATCGCAGAAAGTCAAGATCCCTGCTGTAACCCTGACCCCCAAAGCCAGCCAGTCCAAAGACGAGCTGGCCAGAGCCGAGAGTGTGGCCAAAACCTCCACAGCATCCTTGGGGAGGTTTCAGGACCGCCTGCCCAAGGAGAACCCAGCAAAGAAGGGCAAGAAGAGGAAATTCGAGCCCCTCATTGGCAACTTTTCTAATGAAAAGCAGAAGCAGCTGGAGCTCCTGAAAGTTATGGACACTAAGAAGCCCAAGTTGGACATCACCAAAGCTGTGAATAAACAGATGAGGCAGGAGGACAGAGAGGAGGCTGCTGCAAAACACAAGAAGGCAGCAGGGAAGAAGGGACGTAAAGGCGGCAGCATGGGTGGAAAGGCCAGAGGAAAAGGTGGGAAAGGAAAAGCAGCTGGAGGGGGAGGAGGGAAGAGAAGAGGCAAACCTGGGAAGCGCTGAGGACTCTGGTGTCTTCCTGTGTGTGGTTGTGTGTGTGCCTGCCTTGGCATGAAAGTGTTGGACATTCATGATGCAATATGAACAGAACGTGGTTTACCTGTGGCCCACGGGTGGGATGCTCCCTCCATCTATGTAAACTATGTTTACTGTACATTTTGACTGCAGCATCCATGATGATTCTTTTCGATGTATGTGTAATATTCATGAAAGAATTTCACAAATATACTTTAATATTACAGCGAGTAGAACACGAGTGACTTGTTTTTCTGTCTTTAATTATTGCAGAAGTGATTTTTTAGTTCTGTGTGAGTAAATTGATGCTTCAAGTCTGAAACGGTTAAGTTAAGTATCGTAAAGCGTTTTAGATCCTTGATAAATGAGACATATTTGAAAATAGGTTGTTTTTAAGGCTATTTTTGTTACCCTTTACATATTACTTTGTAAACTACATATATACATTCAAAATATTTGACTTCTAATTTTTAATTTCATTACGTTTTCATATGATTTACATAGTTTTAACAGAAGTTTAATGTAGTTTATGTAACTTTGGGGAAATACTTTAATAGTACTAATAAAACCAGAGTGTTTGTGCAAAACAAATTGGGATTATAAGCATTATTTGATATTTAAAAAATAAATTTCTTTAAATTGGGCTCAGGGACCCACATTTATCTGTAGCCAGGAGGTCAAGAGATAATTTCCTATAAATCATAAAGGTTTGCTGCTGAATGATTAAAAAAGTGTTATTCAAATGAAGCTTTTCACGTGATTGTGGCTAATCATGTCAAACTAATTAGCGCGCTCTCTGCATCAACTCGTTCCTTTGGAAGCTTCTTGCTCCAATTGAAAAAAGAACAAAAATGTGCCACCCATAAGTCAAAAATTCAGGTTATCAACTTGGTAACTTAAAAAAACTTGGAAGTTATTAACTTTAAATTTTGAGATATGGATGACAGAAAAAGCTGTTTTTTCATTGGCAGAAACAAGCTTCCATATGTTCCCACTGCTGCTTAGCTTTGTTTATTAGCCAATTAGACTGTATGGACAAAAGTCCATCTGGCATCTGTCTTTACAAACATTTTTGAAAGAGTGGGTCGTTCCCTGAATTTAACCGTGGATCTGTAGTGGGAATGCAATGAGTTCATTTAACGTGAAAGTGTTTAGGAACCACAGGAACTCTGTGTGAAGTTAAGGTCGCTGAGGTGCTCTGCTGACTCAATAACAGCAGACCTCCAACCTTCGTCTGGCATTAACATCTGCAGACATTCATGATGCAATATGAACAGAACGTGGTTTACCTGTGGCCCACGGGTGGGATGCTCCCTCCATCTATGTAAACTATGTTTACTGTACATTTTGACTGCAGCATCCATGATGATTCTTTTTACAGCTGCTGCAGCTTTGCGCATGTAGTGTAAGTATTACAAGAGTGTTTATATCTACAGCATATTTTTATACACTTATCCACAAACTAATTCTGATTTATTAGAATTAGTTTGTGGAACATTTCACCAACGCAGCAGCAAAGTAGTACAGCAATATGCATGTTCATCATTATTTCAATTTATTGTAAAAACTGTGGAGTTAATAGGTGAATTTTCTGCTTCTGGATATGAACATATATGCATGTCAGAATATGAGACTGCATAAAAAGCCATGCAGTAGCTAAGAAAAACTCAGCCAGGGTTGGTAATGTGCAACAATACCTCTTATGGTGTATTTAATCATTTGTTTGTGTGTATTTAGTAATATAAGGTGTATTTTCTGAAAGAATATGGGGGAAAAATTGGTGCCGCACATTCTTGCTAGTTAAAAATGTGGCCTACAATGGCCCAGTGCTCCCAGGGATATTTAATGGAAACGTTCAAACAGGTTTTTTTATACATACTTGTTAACTAATTTACATGGTCTTGGGAAATAGCTTCAAAGCTTCCCATTCATATTAAATGAGGCTGGTTAACTGCAGCAACAAGCTCCAGCCAGTAAATGCATGTCTGCATCAGATCAGATGTATCATTCATGTAACAGCAGAGAGGTTTTTATGCTCAGAATATATTTTTTTAAGCTGCCGCAGATTGTCTTTACAGGCTCTGAGCTGTTCAGTGTTCATCAGTTTTCTTCTTCCGAGAAGCATCAGATCGGATTTCTTAGCAGCTTAGCGGTGTTTTTTTTGGTTATGTAAGGGCTTCGGTTTGGCCTTGATGTCTAGACTGGAGCCATTGTTCTGAATTAGGAGCAGTGTATAGTGTAACAAATAGCTCACAACGCCAGAATCTGCAACTTAAGTACATTTAAACACAACACAAAGCAAACTGTGAGTGGGATTTTTCTCTCATCCAGTTGAGCATGTCTTGCTTTTGTGGTGGTATTGAGGTGTGTATTTCCACGGTCTTCACCCTTTTGAAAGAGATTGGTCTTGGAGCCAGAGTGGTTGCAGTCTAGTCAGACATTTTCCTGGACTGCTAAGGCCTCAGATAATGAGATTTATTAGTCTCCTGCATTTAGAGGTGTTTCCACTTTCAGGCGGCACACAAACGCACCTCTTGCTCTGTTCACCTAGATAATCCATGATCCTCTGACAACCTTATTTCCTGTTGACACTGATTGTAATTATTTGTGAAAATTGACCGCGTAATTTCTGTTTGGATTGTCTAGAAGAACAAAAAGTCAAATCCTTCTGCGTGTGCTGTATCCTCACTTTGTCGCCAAGGCTGCGGGGTGCTCTGTCCAGCTCCAGCTGAGTCATCTCTCATCTTAGTGACGGATGCCTTTTTATCACTAATGCAAGCTCGCAGCCAAGCGCCTTCGCACCAGAGCTGGAGAGGGGAGGCGGTGGTGGGGTTTCAATCACCATCTGTTGAGCGGTCGGGCACTCTGTCCCCAGCCCTATCATCTTTGTCCCTGCTCACCCAGGCCACAGGAAAGTGGGGCACAGCCAATAATCAATCAAGCACTCCTGATGAGGTGAAATTATGAATTCTCATTCACATCTGAGCAAGCAGTAGCCTCTAAACTTCTTTTGCATGTGGCCAGATGGTCAAAGAACAATAGACATTGGCAGCAAGATGGAGTGGTCAAGCATGATATATGAGAAAGATGCCGCCTCTTATTCCAAAATAAAAAGCATTGGTGTCAGGTGATAAGAAAATTCTAACAATCATACATTTTCTGACATAAACTAAGATTTTACTTGTCCCTGGTCACGTGTATGTGTGTCTCTGTGTGTGTGTGTCCAGCTCCAGTCTGTGCTGCAGTGGATTAGTCAGCTGCATTTATTTAAGGTATTGCAGTGAGAGCTCAGTAGTCCCGGACAGTGTGAGAGCGTCCGATCTTCAAGATGCAGCGCATCTACATGCACAGCAATGAACACTTTGAGGTTTTCACCACTGTCCTTGCTCCACAAGGTGAGTGGAATCATATCTGCAGGGAAGTGTGGCTTAGCAGGACATTATTTATGTGGTTAGCAAGAGCAAGCCCAGTGCCAGCTGACCGATAAATGCCTTGTTTTCCCTCCTTCTGGACAGTGTACATAAAGATTTAGCTGCACAGATGTGCATTAATGTCGAGGTCTTCTTATGGACATTTGCATATTAATGAAAAATGTTGAAAATAACCCTTTTTTGCTGATTCATTTCTGCTCTCGATGATAAACAGGGAGGTATCGATACAGAGCAGAAGCTGAAAAGGCAAGTTCACTTTTTTCTTAATTTTCATCAACAGAAATCTGCATATTTAACTGCACTGATATGAAAATGAGAACTCAATTCACAGGTTTATGTATGCTTATATATTTCAAAGACTAATGGATATGAATGTGACATTGCATCAGTTTAATCAGTTTCCTGCAAAACTACGCATTTAGTTTTCCACTTTCTCTCACATAATATTCAGGTGTAACATAATGAAGGGTAAACCCTGATTAAGAGTTACCATTACACTAAATAACAACTAATCCAAGTCTTCACACGTAATCCTTTCCATTCACCGACTCTGATCTGCGGGCTGTAAAAAAAAGGAGCTGGACGCTGATCATGAACAAGTTCTGCCCTAACATAAATGTAGCATTGAATTTTAATCTTGCAATATTGAATATTCAAATTAGAGTTAAAAATTATTGTAATTCTCCTTTTGTCCATTAGATGGTAGTGGTGCACAGGTACAGGCCCCACTGGCCTGACGAGCTGGAGCTGTCTCCAGGTGACGTCACCCTGGTGCTGTCCAAACACGAGGAAGGGAGGTGGTTTGGGCAGCTGCAGAATGGGCAGCGAGGTTATTTCCCCGCCTCATGTGTGATGGAGCTGCGCCAGGTTGGTTGGCTTCTTGAATGTGCTCAGTAATGCAGAGAAAGTGGACAGAACTGTTGCTGCTGCAGCTTACAGATGACAGATTATATTATCCTCTCTGCTCTGCTTGTCACATCATGTATGTTTTAAATAAGCCAGAACCAAATGTGTGCCTACATAAACATATTACAGTCATGACAGAATTTAGAAACGCCTATGAGAGCTGTTTCCTTAAGTCAGTCTTGAATTGTTGCACATTTAATAAGGGATATTTATAAAGGGTAATTCATAAATTTCAGACTTAAATGCATAATATTTGCACTGGTTTTGGTGGGAGCTCATATTGTGCAGTGATTGACCAGAAGCAAAGAGATTTCTCACAATTTTACCTTCTCTAATTTAGCAGTTAAACACTGACAAACACAGCAGGTGTTAAGAAGTATAACATGCTCCTCACTAACAGTTAATAACTATAAACTATTCTCTCACCATTCTCTGAAAAAAGTTTAAAAAATTTCCTGTATTATCAAAATTTTGATAATGTCAGTTTGATTTATGTTATTTGCTATAACAAAAAGACATGATCAAAAATTACTTCTATGTTTTTGAACAACACAAATTAAAAAAAAAATCAAAAACAACAAGAAGAAAAGTGTTTTAAATAACTCTATTTTATAATTACTGTCTATTTACTATTAAATAATTAATAAAAGGTGGAATTAAAAACATCATGTTTCCACTCTCAGGCAAATCTGCCTCCCAAAGGCCTTCGGAGGAGTTTATCTGTGAGGACTACACCCGGTGACAGTGAACGCGGCAGATATGGGAAGTAGGTGTAAACACACACATCAATAATTTCATGCTTCCCTCTTATCAAGTATATGCACACACACACACACACACAGACACACAATCATGCACATACACCCAGCATTCGGCAGATGTTCCCCACATCCCCCATCTCCAA